TCATACAAAATTTTTCGATGACACTTTGAATACGCAACGAAACGAACTCGAAAGTTTTTCGTACTAGAGGTACAGATATTTTGTTCAGTGATCCAGGAAATTTTGATCAGTGATCAAGAGAGAAGGAAACTTTTGCACCGTTAAATTTAGGGTAACACCCGAACATAAAGTGAAAGCAAAGTTGTGAAAAAATACCAACAGAGTTTCAGCTTTCATTGATGAATCTGCCGAAAAGATAGTCATGGTAGAACTAGAATACAACGACTAACTGTAAGTGACCAGCAGTTCATCTTAGCCAAAAACATAGGCAAAAAGAAAAAAAATCCAGACAATCTAAACATAAGTGTCAATTTGTCTACGTTCTTCCGCCGTAATAGACTCAAAGGCCTCTTCAGTTAATTTTACAATTTCTTTTGGATCTTGTGCCACGTTCTTATCCGCCACCTTTCTTTTTACAAGGCTCCTGATTTTCTGAATCGGGTTGAGGTCGCAATGGTGAGCTGTAAATAATTCATCCACTTCAAATGTCGGTGGACCTTTATTTAGTTAGATTAGCTCAAACAGCAGCTTATCTCCAGGTATCTTCAAAATATATACCCTTTTGCCGGAACCATTCCTGCATACTAATTTTTATATTTGACATTGAAGGGGCTTTGTTTAATTGAGTACAATGGTAAGGAGTGTTGTCCATTACCAAAAGCGACCTTTCAGGTAGATGAGTTATTAGTTTTTCCGTCACCCATTTAATAAAATTGTAGAGTTCATGTCATCGTGGTAATCTGAGGACTTGGATTGGGATTTGAACATTAATAATGCATCATTTATGATGAATCCATGACTGAGACGAACATTCCTGGCCCCTCCTCACTCTGCCAACAAGTTTTTGTATGATAAGTATTGTGTATACACTAGCTTTTGCCCGCGACTTCGTCCGCGAAGAAGATATTCTCATAGGATTTTTAAATGGTTTTTAACGTCATTAACTAAATGTTCAATAATAATTATTATAAACTACATAATACTTTAACATGAAATTAAAATTTTGTTCTGTTTTATGAACATGCAGCTCGGTCATTGATCCGATGAAAGTTACTCGGTGGTATTATCTTTTTACAACTTTTCTAGTCTACTAGACCTATTGATCGCGTTCGACGCACCTGTGCGGCGCTAAATTCATTCAGAGCAGCGTCAAAAGAGCCTATTTGCATTGAAGAGTCCCTAACCCTTTCAGCTCTCGCTAACATTTCTTCGCAAGTCCAACACTGTGGAACTCCTGCTAGTACTTGGTGTGAATTCAGGCTGTCTGGATGTACTGAGTCTAAATTTTGAAATACATTTTCATCGTCTTGTTCATAGTCAGGTTCTTCCCGAGATTGAAACAAACTTTTCGGTTTATTGAATTTCATTCATTTTCTATGGCATTGATGGAGAGTTGAATAGAATTTTTGAATAACATCTTTGTCATTATTAGCGGAATTCGAATGGACTTGGGTTATTTTGTGCCCGACGGCGAGCCCGAATGCAAGAAAAAAAAAATTAAATTTTCTTGTGAACACGTTAACAAATATTTTAATTGATTTTTTCTCCTTTTTATCTCCTTTACTACTTTTGTCACGCCTTTCATTTTCGCCATGTCCTTCATAACCATGTTCTAAAGTTTGTTCAGCTGTATTTGAACCGGATCGACATTGGAAGTCGTCAAGAACACCATCTTCGTTTCCGCGTGTTTCCACCAGTTTTTCTTGTCTAAGCCTGATATATTTTTTGCGAATGGATAAATCTCTAGTTTTACTACATTTAGACCACATTCTCCTGACGATTTCAAAGTGTATTGCTTGCAATTCGCCTGTCTCGAGATAGACTGCGAGATTGAGCCAATGTTCGCTACTGAATTCTGAAGACCGAAGAAGTCTTCTATTAAGTCTGGGTTGTCCGCACTCAGCTCTGATCTGTTCTTTGACTCGTTGGCACCTACAGGAATTGCCGTTGTAGGAGCAGTCGTGGATGACATGCAAGTGGTCGTTACCGTGGTTTGACACGAAGAAGATGGTCCCTTTGAATGAACGACCAGAGTTTCCTCCTTGTTCACATATTCGTGAAACTTTTGTATTGCTTGCAATGGGGCGTCTTAGCTAGCTCAGTCTAACACCCCGCTGCGCTGTTTAGTACTAAGTCCCAGTTCGCCTTCTGCGATGAGGGATGTGTACCTATCTAGGATGCCTACAGGGATATTGACCAAGGAAACGCACAATCAACAACACAATGACACTTTGTATTTCTGGTTCCACAATAGTTCCTTATTCTAATTTCACTGACTCTAAGTTACTGTTTTCAAGAATGAGCAAGTTGGTACTTTACAGGTTATTTCACAATTATTAATCTATTATAACGAGAGGAATAGCGACGCTCCCGGTTCGCGTCCCGTTAACTAGCTTGCGTATCCGCGAGAGGGGCGGCGCCCTGTGCGAGGTTTAGCGAGTGTTAGTTGGATACTTATAACTAGGGAGGTAGGACGGTTCGCTTCCAGATCGGTGTTAACGAGTGGGGGTTCGTGCACCAAAGGTAAAAGGCTTGGGACCTACGTTGCGAGTGGGGAGGGGAGGAATTACAGGAAGGGTGGCAGTTAGGTTTTTTTTTGTTTTTACACTGCGCTTCTAGTCCCAAACTAAGCAAAGCTTGTACTACGGGTACTATAGACAACGGATATAAACATACTTAAATACTTTTTTTTGTAAATACATACTTATTATACATAGAAAACACCCAACACGTGGACTGCTCCAATACAAACAAATATGTTCATGCACACAAATGTTTGTACTGTGCGGGAATCGAACCCGCTACCTCCGGAATAGTAGTCCGTTTCGAACCACTACACCAAACGGCCGACAACGGATTGGGGGGATTGAGTAAAGCATGCACTCGGTAAGGATTAGAATAGGTATACAGGCAGCGATGGTTCGCTCGTGTCGCGGAAACCGCGCGAGCCGAAAGTCCTATCGAGCCAGGTTAGTGGGAACAGTGAGGGCAGCTATTCGCGAGGGATTCTGCGCAATTCAGCCGTGGGAAAGTTAGACGCGCGCGCGATCATCTGGCTGTTGCGATGGCTCCCGAGCGAATGTTATGAATGGGCGCCTAGCGCCCGCGGTCGCCGCCGTCTCTTAAGGCTTATTCAAACCTGAGCGATATTCGCTGCCGCTGTGGGTAGAGGTACATCATAGATAAGAATAAGTACTACGTATAGATAGCCGTCTCAAGGTTTTGATAGAAAGAGGCGCCATCTAGTTCTCAAGCTCCGTACTCGCTTCTGCTTGTAACACGGTTCTTTCATCGTTCATGGTTCGTATCCAGGTATTATTCCAAATATTATTATTGAGGCGCAGTTTTATTTTGGTAGATTTTTTTTCCAACATAATGTACTATTGCATTGTTACTAATAAAACTGCACATAACCAATTGCTAAACAAGGTAAAAGGAATAAAAAACAAATATGTAAATCATTTAAAACTTTTATTTTTACTTTTATGTGAAACAAAATATCTGTGCGCTAACATTTTCATAGGACAATTTTCATCAAAAACTATATTTTTACCATTTAATATATTATTTATTTCTTTACACCAGTCATTTATCATCAAGGAAATTCCTTTACATATAATAAGTTCTTTAACTTTTTCTTTATGACTTTCGCATGTCACAAAATTTAATGTTACAAGAGAAGTGGTTACCAATTTATACATTTTGTAATTTAAATTGTTCCCGTATTAGGGAAGTACAAAATTAATAACTAAAGGTACATAAAGGTACACCTCAGGTATTAAAAATTCATATTTATGTTATTCATTTCTGTGACCATACACCCGCCATTCTGACGTTCACGTCTTTTCAGGATTAAAATTTTCCTTATAAGGTAGCTTAGTTATTGTACTTACGTATTGCTGTTACATACAGTATGTCCCATAATATGAAACATAATCATATCTCTAAAACGGCGATACTTTTATTAAGGTAATGTTTTTGTCCATCCATTCATCCATTAGTCTATCTTCTCCTTAAGTTTGGGAACCTTGTATAATTTATTATATTCTTCTATACATATTTCTTGGGAACTTCCAGATGAAACATGGAAGCGTTTTGTATATTTATTATTCTTCTACATTTCTTGGGAACCTCCAGATGAAACATGCGCATTATCCAGGTGAAACAATGATTTGTGAGTGAAGTTTGTTTTAACTTGTTGTTAAGTACTTTTAATTACTTCGAAGTAAACCGTACCGAATCCTGGAATTATTATACATGTCGGCTCGTCAGGGATTCGAACCTCAGATATTGTGGGCGAAATAGGGTATCGTGCAATGAGAATAAGTCTTGTGTTCAAACACTTTTAATAATCGTCAAACAGAGTTCAAAATCAGCACTTAGTTCTTAGTACTACAATCTAGACTTCGTCGAGCGATAAAATAGGCACTAGGTGAAACGTGGGACAGTTCCGTGACGATGTCTTCTCTTGTCGGCGTCCGGAGCGAAAGTGAGTTCGATCCCTCCCGCCGTGACCGTTACGACTCTGTCGAAGCGCGCCAAAGCGGTGTTGTGCCGATTCGCCGCTAGGTGGCGCACTTGCGTTTCACTTTAGTGTCCGTACTCATGACCGTCTGCGACACGGCCATCCTGCGTGTCACACGTCCTCGTGTGATCATCTGAAAAAAAACCAAAAGAACAGCACAGTATCCGCTCGGCCAATCCTATTTCAAGCAACTTATGTGCTTTCAGAAATGAGGAAACTAAACTTTCAGTACTACTAGATACTCTTTCTACAACTAGTTACTCTTTCTACAACTAGTTACTCTTTCTACAACTAGTTACTCTTTCTACAACTAGTTACTCTTTCTACAACTAGTTTATATTCGGATATTTGATCCGATTCACACTGTGTTGATAAAATTAACAATGTGATTTCTTCTATATGCAATAGGCATTCCAGCAAATGTTTATTGGGATAGTGAAGATTGCATTTTTCGGAATATTTTTTCATAGTTATAAATTTTGAATAGATTTCTTCACCATCCCCTTCTAAATCACTTTTACACATTTCACAATAACCAATATTTGTATAAATTGTTTTAATAACCCAACCACTACAATAAGCAGCTGCTGCGCATTTTTCGATGATTAACGGATTTTGGCTTTTTATTAAATTATCAATGTTGGTTAGATACATGTTATGTGATCAAAATTTATTATTATATTTTTAGGTAAGGGCTTAACAATGTTTTCATAAAAAAGGGATTTGAGATTTTGTAAGCAATAGCCATCATCACTTTCGCTATTAGCCCCAATTGATTTAGGCGAAACCATATTATTTATTAAAAGCGCTTTATAAGAAGCCTCAAATGCCGGCACTGTAGGCATTATATTTCGATGCCCATGAGCCCTTATTGCACCAAAAAAATTTTCTAAAGGGTCTTGATTGAAATTGCGCAGCAGTAACGATTTGATTTTAATTAAATAAAATCCATAACATTTAATTGTTATTGTCAAACGAAAAAAAACGAAAAGCTACGAGCATTAGATTGATTCTAATTTCACAAAAACAACTGCGGCTTGTGCTCTTTCCAACGGTATAAAAAATAAATTAATAACCTTTTCTTGTCTGTAAACACGCACGGCACCTTTTTCTCATTTCGACGGTCATCGTGCGAAGTAGTAATTCTTGCCTCATTGTTGCAAATGCAGCATTGATTTTTTCAATTAAAATTTCTTTTGTACTAATTTCATCGAAGTAAACCAATTCCTTGGCCCTTCCCCACACGTAAAAGTCCAGGGGAGTGAGATCTGGAGATCTTGGAGGCCAAGGAATTAGACCGCCTCTACCAATCCAAGAGTTGAATGTGAATGTTGAATGAATTATTTAGAAATTCCCTCACCAGCAAACTCCAATGAGCCGGACAAGCATCATGTTGAAACACAATTGGTCGATCTTCGTCAAAACAACATCCTAGGCAGCTCGTTTTCTAGGAAACTTAAATAATTGTCTCTGTTTAGATTGTCTGGCAGGAAATGAGGTCCAATTAATTGGTTGCCAATGACGCCTGCCCAAAAATTCACAGAAAACTTTCTTTGAAATGCTCTGTGCCTTTTCAATTTTGGATTCTGGTCTTTCGGTGCCCAGCTATGTAAATTATGATAGTTCACAATCCCCCTCGATCAAACTTGAACCTCATGTGTCCATAATATGCTCCTCAAAAAATTCACATCTTTCACGTCGACGACAAAAGTGCATTCTTTGTGTGTAGGAATTTGTTCTAATCCTAAAACAAAATAAAATCATTTTAATTATTTACTAGGAAAACTTTAGGTATTACAGAGCACTAAATATCTTTAAATTTATTTAAAGATATTCTATTTCACGAAGTCCGTTTGGCTCTGGTTGTAGTAGTGACGTGTACTGATAAGCGCGCTTGTGTGTGTAAACGTAGGGAGCGTTAGGAAAGAAATCTGACACACTTTGAATATTTTTAATTTAAGTTTTTTTAAATTTTTTTAGATATTAGAATTCAAATTAAAATGCTTCGCCAATTTGATGTACATAAGTAGTAATTTTAGAGTGAGTATAAAGATCTAAACTGTTTGATACTGATAATGATAACTGAATGATAGGTTGCATTGAATAGAAACACAATAGTTGTAGGTAAATAAGTATTTTTATTTATTACAGAATAGACATAAAAAAACAGCACTTAATCACTATCGGATTCAAGTTCCGATTCGCTGTCGTTGGAATCGTCCTGCAAATTAATTATGAACTCAAAATCCAGGTCGACGTATTTTACGTATTCTTTTTCAATTTTTTTCGACATGAGCACACGTTTTTTGCCATGTTTCGCTGCTTACTCGATACAAGCTTTCGTTGATCAGTATTTCCGTGTTTGTCATGTTTTGCTCGATATTCTTTGATGCGATATAATTTTTTACAATCCCCCAAATGTTTTCAATGGCATTTAATTCTGGGTGATACGGGAAGGCGTGTGACCTCNAGTAATATCACATATAAACAACAAAATTTAAATTAAAACTAAATGTATTCTGTCGAGAACACTGAGAATATTCCCGGGAGCGTTCTCGGTTCTCGAGAATATTCTCACTGGGAATATTGCCGGGAACGAGAACTTTCTCAGTGGCACATCTCTACGTATGACCTCAAAACCCTTGCTCTTAATAAAATCATCAATTTTGTACGCTATGTGTTCAGCTTTGTGTTTTTTTATAATGTCGTACAATTACAATTTAAGGAGAGATTGCTCAAATGGTATACCCTTATCCTTGAGCCATTGCTTCATTTCCTTGTAGCCGATGTCGGAAGTTTTTGAGACCATGTATTGTGATATGAAGCATTGTCTAAGACAGGGGTCACCGATTAGTTTCGGTCGGGGTCCATTTTTAGAAATGAAATGACCTTCGCGGTCCACATATATTATAAAAAAAAATTATTAAAAAAAGGTAATTACGGAAATTACAAAAGTTACATATCAATGAGAAAAGTGACATTTTTTATTGTTAATTATCTGTCTGAAGTTTGGAGTGGAATTGGTGCAAACTATTGACATTGAATCCTGAAGATGTTCATCAGTAAGTCGAGATCGAAATCTATTCTTAACGAAGTTCATCTTCGAAAATGCAGCTTCGCAAATATATGTTGACCCAAACAAAGTGAGAAGTTTCAAAGCTAATTTTTGTAGTTCTGGATACCTATTTATTACCACACACAAATTTTATCCAGAACTCTTCACTGGAAACTTCGGCATGTTTGTGCTTTAAAACTGTGTTTTCTTGGAAATCGATCATTTCGATCTGCAGAATAGCTTTATCACTTCCGAAAACACTTGCAGCTTCGCTGCTCCATTTACCATCGGGATGCAGAGAGTAAATACTGCTGAGGATTTCTACAACATAATCTAAATTTTCTTAAAATCAGCGAACCTTGTTTGAAATTCCGATTTGAGATCTGAAATGAACGTCTTGTATTGGTTGACGTCAATCTCATTGTCACTGCTGATTATTATTTTTTTTAAATTAGGAAAGTGTAAGCATTCATTACTGATATCATTAATAAAGACATCTAATTTCCGCGAAAAACTTTTCACTTCTGACATGAGCTCCCATATAAGCTTTCCCTTGCCTTGAAGTTGTTCAAGTCATTGATATATTTGAAAATATCCGTTAAAAAAGCAATGATAGCTACATTTTCTTTTTCGTTTAGAAAACTTAAGTAGGCGTTTGCTGAAATCTGATTGCTATTGGAAATATATGTCTTCAAGTGCTCTAAAAGGCTGAAGAATCTTTCCAATACGCAGCCTTTACTCAACCATCTTACATTGTTATGCAACAGTAGATCGTCATATTGTGCATTAACTTCTTCAAGAAATGATTTTAACTCACGATGTTGCAGTGATGATTTTGCACGTAGAAAATTAACTATTTTCACCACTTCTTGCATAACGCGCTCAAAATTATGATTGAGTTTACAGCAAAGCACTGTTTGGTGAATAATACAGTGGAAACAAATCGAATTTTCGTTGCATCTTGCATTGCTACTCAAAAGGTGAACAAGTCCTTTTTTACTTCCAACCATTTCTGGCGCGCCGTCTGTAGTTATCGATAAAAGCTTTTTCAAGTCCAACTCGTCTTTATCAAAATAATCAATTACTGTTTTGATCATGTCTTCTCCTCGAGTTCTTCCTAATAATGGCAAAAGAGCTAATATCTCCTCAACAAAAGTTTCTCTCGTTTGATCCAGGTAGCGTAAAAAATTATTAACTGCGCCGTATCGGTGACATCGGTTGATTCATCCAAAGCCAAGGCGTAATAGTTCGCATTATTTAAAATTAAAAATTAAAATTCATAAAATTCATTTATTTTTGCAAATAGGCTTTAAAAGAGCTTTTACACGTCCCAATATTAACCCTACCACTGCTTCGGGACAATAAATGGGCCAGTGCTGAGAAGATGCCGCTACACATCATAATGTATTTCTTCTGCCAAAACATGTATATTTCTTGTGTTAGTTGAAGCTGAATGAAATCCGTCGTATCATCTCAATAACATCCTTTTTGCTCTCAAATAAAGCACTGCCCGCCTCGAGAAAACATTCTTTAACTACTTGAAATTGAATTAAAATGTAAATTATTTTAATGTACAAATATCTCAATAGAAACGAAGGTATTTTTATAGTTATTCTTTTTATTAGACAAAATAACATATACATATCAGACACAAAAAAGCGATCTTCTAGGTTTTAATAAATCAGGCAAACCAGTATTTGTCCGATAGTGAAAGTAGAAAAACTCTGCTCTTTACATGTTCCGCTGTCTGCTTTAAAAAAGTTCCACACATCACTGCTGCTGGAAGATGACATGATTTACGTCGTGAAACATAAATTCTGATTTGGAAAACAGTAAACAATTCACGAGACTTGGTTATTTTGATCACTCGCGACGCGAACCTTGAAACAAAAGAACAATTGAAGTGAAGTGTCAAAGTGTGGTGACTGGTGTGAAGTGAGTGACAGACGCAAAAGCAACCTACAAGTCATAGACTATACAGTTAAAATTTCTTTTCTGGGCTTCTGTCATGTTTTTCATATCAGGAAGGACACTTTTTAGAAAAGCTTCATCGGGGTCTAGGACGGCTGGCGCTGAGTTTTGGCGTTTCTTCCATTCATCAAAATATTTAATAGCTGATCTATTAACCTCACTCAGGCTAGTAGCCTGTTTATTCTTTCGTCTGTAAAAATTTGACTGTATTGGAACACTTGGTTCTGGGGTAGATGGAGTCGAATAATCACTAAGTCCTGGAATCCGATTAGCTTCCAATGTCTCGTCTCTTGTAAAAGACTCTTCATCAGCATCAGATATATCCGGAATTGAATTACTTTGTTCTTCAGTGACTTCACTTTCACGTTCTTTATAAGTTTCAACTGATTGGGATTGCACATTTCCGGTAGGAGTTCTGCTTCTTATCTCATTCAGAATGTATCTAAAAATGTAAATATTCTGCAAGGTAATATGGCTTTTTTGATTTAGCTGCAGAGCCCGATGGCGACGGTTTGTTTATTTGTTTTACGTTGTTGCCTCGAATGTTCTTCTACCTCTCTCTGCACGTTGCCACTGAAATAAAATACAAACATTGTATAATTATTCACTGTATATACAGGGTGTTAGGTAAATGGGTAAATATGAGCCGACACTAGCCCATGTTAACATAGGCATATAAATGGTATGGTGAAGTCAGAAATGGCAATGCCAGATTTTGTATGGAAGGTGGCGTCTTTTTTTTTTCGCGCGGCCATCGACCAAACTTTGTTTTTTGATTACAAAATAGTGTAATAAACCAAACTTACTATGGCATGTATACCTCTAAACGCAGTCTGAACTGAGTTACGAGCATTAGAAGTTTGATGATTTTCATACTAGATTTGCTTTTTCCGCGCAAGTTTTGTAAGAAATTGCAACAAAAGACAATGCCGGAAATTGGCGTCTTTTTTTTTTCGCGCGGCCATCGACCAAACTTTGTTTTTTGATTACAAAATAGTGTAATAAACCAAACTTACTATGACATGTATACCTCTAAACTCAGTCTAAACTGAGTTACGAGCATTAGAAGTTTGATGATTTTCATACTAGATTTGCTTTTTGCGCGCAAAGTTTTGTAAGAAATTGCAACAAAATAGTGAGATTGTATGTGTAAACAAACAATACCATCCATTAAAAGCTCCAGACATCAGTATGTAGCAGAATCAGCGCAATAAAAAAATAGCGNTACTACAATCTAGACTTCGTCGAGCGATAAAATAGGCACTAGGTGAAACGTGGGACAGTTCCGTGACGATGTCTTCTCTTGTCGGCGTCCGGAGCGAAAGTGAGTTCGATCCCTCCCGCCGTGACCGTTACGACTCTGTCGAAGCGCGCCAAAGCGGTGTTGTGCCGATTCGCCGCTAGGTGGCGCACTTGCGTTTCACTTTAGTGTCCGTACTCATGACCGTCTGCGACATACATGTGTTACTTGACGAAAATAAAGGTAAAATTTTGTTCCGCTTAACTTTTGTTTTTGAAATTGTTGTACCAAACGTTTCCAATATAATTTTCGATATTATTGAGAAGAAACATGTCTAAATGTAGCTAGCGAATGTCAACAAATTAAAATCTAAAATAACACCATATTATGTTTATTTTACAAGCATTACTTACACAGTTCACATACAACAATATTTACATAATATTGTATTTACATGCTTAATATTATTTAATTCGTTGCTTCAAACTTGTCAACATAGAATAGATAAAGATAAATATAGAGTTATGGAGAAAAAGAGATCTTCTGTGATATGACTGTAGCGTTATTTAACCAAAGTGTTACTTAGAGCAGTGTTTTTCAACCTTTTTCAAGACACGACCCCCCTAGTATGAAAAAAAAAATTGGCGACCCCCCGACTGTTCGCTTTTTTTTCATGCATTTTATAATGTTGCAAAGACTTTTTTAGGGACCGAATACTTCAATCCATACAACATTTTCATATTTAGTTTTCGGATTTATCTGTCTTTATAAGTTTTTTTTATTGAGGTACTTTTTTCGACCTCTCGCGACCCCCCGGAAGCCTATGGAGGCTTTTCTTTACGCGACCCACAGGTTGAAAGACTGACTTAGAGCATGGCCTAGTGGTTTGTGAAACTGAATGCTGTACCGAATTAAATCCCGCACATTGTAAACTATAAACTTTTGATGTAATGTACCGCCTAAAGATTTTTTTGTTTTATTATAATTAAATATGAGCTTTACATAATGCTACATTTACACGTTCTTAGCATTCCACGCTGCGAGATGCTACAGGCTCTAAAACTGGACTCCGACAAGAATATCCTTTGTCGGAGTAGTGTAGTGTCGAAGTAAAGTCATGTCCATATTCAGAAGTGTCGGAGTAACGTAATGTCGAAGTAACGTTTGTCGGAGTTTACTCAGGTAGCCGATGCTACACGATGCTACTACATGCTACGTTATTCTCGTAGTCGATTGGCGTCTACGCCGCTACGGAGTGCTATTGCTATAGTCTGGTCGCTGAGCACGTAGAATTTTGTATAATGACCCCAAGCTACCTATCCTTATCGCTCGCGCGTAATTATATTGCTGTCGCGACTGTGTGACGGGCGGCAGCAGTGAGTGTGCGAGTGCCAGACTTTAGGCCTCAGCCTCGAACTTAGCGGGCAGCGGGGCGGCGGCGGCGGCGGCGCGGGAGCGGCAGGATCTTATGCGTAAAATCAAATAGACCGGTTCTCGAAAACAGCGGCGCGGCAGCGGGGCGGCAGCGGGCAACGAGCGGGCAGCGGCGAGGGAGCGGGCAACGAGCGGGCAGCGCACTCCTTCTTTTGCCCACAATAAATCGAGCGTTAGGAATAAATTTGAATCGAAATAAAATTGTCGCCGTTGTTCAGACATTTCGTTTGCGAATAAAAACAAATATCTCGACAACACAACCCCGAACACAACACTTCGCCGCTAAAGCGCCGCGCGAGCTGCCCGCTTGTTTCGAGAACGGGTCTGCGTTGCCCGCCCCGCTCCCGCGCCGCCGCCGCTCCCGCCCCGCTGCCCGCTAAGTTCGAGGCTGAGGCCTTACATCACACTCATCATTCTTGATGATTCACGTAGCGTCGTGTAGCGTTAGTCATTTATATAGAACACCCTGTATTAGCATAGGGGAGACCGAGGAGAGTTGTATCAAAGGAGAATTGTGACATTGTCGATTTTTGGAACTAATCAATTATCAACGAGCTAGCAACAGCGCGCATTATTGGTAGCTCAAATCAAATTAAATCAACGAGACTTGAACTAAATGCACACTGTCACGAGCTCGCTAGTAGTTAAATAAGTTGGTCCTTGGTCTCCCCTATCTATATTGTAGGCAAGTATCTATGCATTAAGCCTTTGAAAGACTATCGTATGTTTGATAGTAGAATCACGTATTAGTTACTTAAAGTTGTAGACAAACCTTAGTTCGCCAAACTTAGCTCTGAACACCGAACAAACTTATCTTTTGCTAACATTTTCGACTGTGTAAAAGAGAGGTTTTCTTTTCTTTAAAACTATTTACAAGTAGTACTTAGCTACAACTATTCAGGTATAAAAATACATTTAATAACATCATATTTATATCCAAATAAAATAATGACTAGATACTATTTACATTAATAAAATTACCATATTATGTTTTGTACACAGTAATAACATGTATTTTTGTACTTACTTAGTATCTATCTTTAGTATTATTATACTACTTATCATGCTACATATGAAAATTTTTAGGTACATTAATTTATAAACATTGTCAAAACTCAATTCAAACTAGCATTATAAACTTCATTGATGATTCAATTGTATGGTTTCGTTTATTTAACTATGATTTATTATTTCAGTTTAAATCGAGTTTTAAAGGTCATTTCAAAATATGGTGTACCTACCCAAATTTATTATACAAAATTAAACCAATTGGTCAATTTAAAGCTCAGTTGACTAAGTTGTTAGGTATTCCATGGTCATTAACAATTAAACCAATAGATATTCATCGGTACATTTAGAAAAAAGGTAGATCAATTATTTATACCACTAATATAAGTAATCTATCAAAAGACATCCAAAGACTTTGATATAGCAATACTTACTACTTTATATTGATAAGCTGTTCGATAACTGCTAAGTGACGTAAATTCAGTTTAACTCATTCAGACTGCGTTGCACCATCTTACTTTAACTTAACAAACATCAAAAATCTGTTGAATGAACCCCATACAAAAAGCACCGGTTATCGTTATAGTTACGGTTAAAGTTGGATGGTGCAATCAGCCTTAGTCGATTAGGAGCGAAGCGGATAGAGGAAGATTTTGATATGCCCCAAGTGTTGTGTCACTGTTAAAACGATGTCATTTTGTGTATCATGTAATTTATGTTTACGTGGGTTGATTTTAGGCAAACACACCCATGTTGTAATTATAGATTTAACTATTCATAAGAGTAGGTGCAGACCACTTTCAGTTAGCCGATTGTTTGTCCCGAAGTGGAAGTAGGGCAAGCTAATATTTGGGACGTGTATAAGTGCCCTGGGCCTATGTACTGATTATGGCCCAAAAGATAAGGGGACATGTAGTACCCCATAATGGCTACCTTTTTTACTGTATTTTGACGTTCATAAGTGCCACTAGTGTTTTAAATTTAATGAAATTATTTTTTTAATAAACTATTTGAATTTTAATTTCAGATTAGTCGGGCTGTTAATCAGTATGGAGATTTATGAAAGTGCGCACATTGAATCGGCCGATTTTTCATATTATTAGAATCGGGCCCAACTATCGGCTGACTAAAAGTCTATAGTCTGCGCCTACGCTAAGCATACGAGTACATAAAAGTCTTCGGGTACAATGTATGAATTCAGATAGATTTAATTAAATCACGTTATGTAAATAATTTAAAAAGGATAACTTTACAAATATGTTCTGTAGCTGTAAATGAAAGTCTACAATCACCATCATTTGATGACCACCGAAAGATGACGAGATCACTAGCCATGGAAGAATCATTTCCATCAATTTTTAAGTCTATTATTAACTGTCATTTCACTTCCAATTCTGTCACTTCACTTCACACTTACAATTTACCGGTCACCTCCATGGCATGGCATCCAATGTCATGAGTTTTACCTACTCTTAAATTTTTACTGTCACTTTACTTCAAAGCTGTCACTTCACTTCACACTTATCTCAAGTACCCCTTCCTATACCCATTCTCAATAAACGTGGTGCTGCAGACATAGTTCTCAGGCGTCCTGTGACCCTGGAAGTCCATCATGTAAGGCCGCCTGGCCTTGGAGGTAGTGACCCTGGTCAAGGTCGTGAACTTGTCTGGAACTGGCACGGAGCAGCAGAAGGATCGTCTGAACTCCCGGCGGAATTTTCCTGGATAAATAAAGAGGCAGATGAGAGGATTTTCATGCTAACTAGTTACTACAGAAAACGTGAAGATTAATAAATAAACTAATCTAAATCAAACATATTTTATTCAATTTAGACCAATATTTTGGACCATCGCACTACTCGTATGTGACGAAAGGCCGATCTAGATGGACAAAAAGGGTTAACTCAAATCTCCAATAATACTAGCAAGATCGATAGCCGACAATCTGGAGGTCACAATTCTGGTGATAATTTTGTGCAAGTACCCTCCAATAAATTAATAAATATTTTTGAAGTGTCATTACGGGTGGAATTCATGAAGAAATCATTCACTTTTCTGCATTTGGTCTGTCGCTATTTTAAAGTGTTTATAAAATTAATTGTGCTAAAGTTAGTGATGGATCGTGAGGTTGATGGTAAGAACTACCATTTTTATTCATTCACATTGCAAATAACTTTACAGTTGCCGAAAACATAGCTGTCGAATGTGATGGATATTACATTTTTAATGCGAACTTTGTGTTTGTTGGACCAGAAACTACATGTACTTTGTTGTACCATGGCTGCAACTTATACAGGGTGTCCCGTAATGTAACGTCAAGCCGGAACTGGGTGTTAAGGCAAGTTGTGCTGGTTATCAGAAAAATATAAAAAAAAATCTATGTGACATATTTTAAAAATAATAGGCATTTAAAAAAAATCAAAAAATTCTACTCCAGGTGACGGTCCTTTTACTCGTGTTGCCACAAATCTTCACTTTTTCCAAAATTTTTTTTTGTTATGTAACCCTGAATAATGCTTCTCTAAATTGTTATCAAAATTACAAAACCAGCTGCTCCAACTTGGATGAAAAAAATACATTATTCCCAAAAAAAAATATCAAAATAAAAATTTTGCCTAGTTTAAACTGACTGTACTGAAAAAAAATTGTACTACGCGAGTGTGGCAAGTGACGTCATAATTTGGCGCATTTAGTAAGGATTCCAAAATGGTATAACACTTTGTAAAATCTTGCTTTAATTGTCGACAATTTTTGTTTATTGCAAATAATCCCGTTTTTAACTTTATCTACCTTGGTTAAAAATATTATTCTAATGTGCCCAAAATTTAAGTTTCTGGCTTAAGTGAGGTGGAGAAGCCATTTTAAAAGGTATGAGCGGGACGGAGAGGGCCATCTTACCAAGCAGGGATGTTATGGATATCCGTAACCGTAACCGAAACTATCGGATATCCGAAATAAAAAAATGTCCATAACCGTAACCGAAACTGATTCAAAAGTTACGGATAGTTTCGGATAAAGGCCAAACTGCAAAACTCTATGAAATTTGCAGTATACACGCTGCAGCTGAAATGCCGCGCTGCCGATTTCATAGTTTTGCAGTTTGCGGTTGGGCACATTAGAATAATATTTTTAACCAAGGTAGATAAAGTTAAAAACGGGATTATTTGCAATAAACAAAAATTGTCGACAATTAAAGCAAGATTTTACAAAGTGTTATACCATTTTGGAATCCTTACTAAATGCGCCAAATTATGACGTCACTTGCCACACTCGCGTAGTACAATTTTTTTTCAGTACAGTCAGTTTAAACTAGGCAAAATTTTTATTTTGATATTTTTTTTTGGGAATAATGTATTTTTTTCATCCAAGTTGGAGCAGCTGGTTTTGTAATTTTGATAACAATTTAGAGAAGCATTATTCAGGGTTACATAACAAAAAAAAATTTTGGAAAAAGTGAAGATTTGTGGCAACACGAGTAAAAGGACCGTCACCTGGAGTAGAATTTTTTGATTTTTTTTAAATGCCTATTATTTTTAAAATATGCCACATAGATTTTTTTTTATATTTTTCTGATAACCAGCACAACTTGCCTCAACACCCAGTTCCGGCTTGACGTTACATTACGGGACACCCTGTATATGTTGTAGTCTCATTCATATTCTATTGATCAAAGTAAATTAGAAAGTGCGGGCTGGTGCGGAACCTTGTCATTTTTTTTAGTAAAGCTGATGCCAAAATTTTTTTTTCGTTCTTTTTTTTTTCAGAATACGTAATATTTATATCCCGAAGGGAGTTCTACGAACAATGGATAAAATATCCCAAAAATGAAAAAAATAAGCGGAATGAATATTTCGATAAAATACGAAACTTACGAGGTAACAGAGGAGTTATGAAATATTGAAATGAACATTTCCCGAATTTGTTGTAAAAATTGGCTGGAAAGTGGCTGGCATGGCATTCTATATTTTTATTCACTCATCCTTTTTATTTATTTTCAATTACCATAAAGAATTCAGCTTTGTTTTTCTTCTTAGAAACATGCCCATTTTAAGCTGACCTCCTATCAGGTAGTAATTCTTTATAACCGTGTATCAACGTATACTGGTTTATGTATTATAGCGTTAAATGTACCAAAACTGAATGCAATTATGACTGTTTTTGCTATATCGCCCATTTGCGACGACACTGTGACATCTCGACATATACGATTTTTTGTTTTACCGAAATTCTGAACCGCGAATTTGCGTTCTTTTATCTCCAAAAACAGGGTATTTGTTACTCCAAAAACAACAATACTATGNAATACAAACGGAGAATCCTGTTGGCACGAGTTAGCCATCGGGCATGGGACATTTTGCCTAGCGATTTGTTCGCTAAATCGTTAGGAAAGGTGCCTGTAGAAACTGCTTCAACTATTTTGTACAAGTATTTCTGGTCTGTGCTAATATCTTCAGCTTTTTTAATATCTTCTACTTTTGATTTTGCATAACCCATGGATTGCAACAATTAATCAACTCGTTGGTACCATGCCCTTGATGACTGTTTCAATCCATAAATGGCACGTTTCAATCGCAAAACTTTATTTACATCATTATCGCTACCTTGAAAATCTGGTGGTTTCATCATGTACACATTTTCATTTAAAAAACCATTCAGAAAAGCAGTGTCAACATGTAAATGACAAATATCCAAATTAAGCTGGACTGCTCAAGCGAACAACAATTCAAAACTATTTCAAAGTGGAATGTGTAACAACAGGTAAAAAACATTAATCATAATCAATGCCTGGACTTTGGATGAAGCCCTTAGCAACTAACCTGGCTCTGTCTGTACCTGACATTATTATCATTAACAAATATTGTTCGATGACCTTATTTGGATAGCACAACCATTTCTTATTACTATATTCTTTTGCTTTGATATAAGCATTATTTACATTTGGTGTTTCATCTGACAATTATTGAGATTTACATTTAATACAGCCTTTAATAATATTTTTAAAACATTTTTTCAGGACCCATCCACATACATAATTGCTTTGACCAGCGTCGCTTTCATGTCTCTGTTCCATGCATATCTCGTTATTAAAATGAATAATATCAGTTTCTTTGGAAACATTAGGAGATCGAAAAAAAACCAAGTTTTGGAGGCATTCATGAGCATCATCTTCGCAATTAGCTTTAGTTCAATTGTGGAGAGCTATAATTGTTTAATAACAAAGATTGAAATGCCCCTTCAAATTCTACAGTATTTGGTGCAATATTTCTTGCCCCATAACTCCTAATGTTTCCAAAGAAATTTTCTAAAGGGTCCTGATTGAAATTCCTTGATAGCATTAAATCAAATTTATATTTGCCAGATAAAACTTCCCAAATATTTTCCATGCCTTCTATAGTTTTAATAAACTTTGTCACAGAGGGCACTACTGTCTCAACCAATCGGATTTTGTCACCTACTTTTACATCTATATATATAAAAGAAAGTCGTGTTAGTTACTCCACTTATAACTCAAGAACGGCTGAACCGATTTAGCTGAAAATTGTCAGGGAGGTAGTTTAGAGCCAGGAGAAGGACATAGGATACTTTTTATCCCGTTCGAAATAAAAAAAAAGTCTGCTTATTTATTGCCATTAAGGCGGAACAATGTTCGCCGGGTCAGCTAGTTTTTTATATATTTAACAGCGTTTAAAACTTTCTTAGCTTCTTTCCCTAGTTTATGATGAGGGAAATTGTGTTTTATTACTCCTTAATTTTTTTTTATCATTTGGTAGGTAAAAAGAAATTGCTAACATTGAGATTGTCAAATATTTATCAGTTAAGAGTGTGAAATCGACTAGTATCGATTATATTTTATCAACATTGAAAATTCTGTTCGCCGCGAACCTTTTTTCTTCATAAACTGTTTCAAGATTTTCCTTTGTGAATCCGTTGGCTCTAGCAAAAGATGTTCCAGTAGGCTTGCGAATTGATAGAATATGCTTGTGCCTTGCAAGAAATCCCTTGAGCCAGTATCTGCCAGCTCCTTCATGCTGAAATGGATGGGGAACATTATTTTTTACCGCAAGCTGATATGCCAGCCTTGTCATATTCATTCGAGTCAAACCATATAATTTTTGTTCCTAAAAAGACTATGAAAAGTAATTCCGAAACCTTCCAGTGTCGCGTAGTGGGAAATTAGTAAATAATGAACACTAGCGTACACAGATAAAATTACAATTTATTGACTTTACAAATGAGGGCGGGGTTCGAATGCCCGACTGTGGGTATGCTTTCGCGGTCCGTGACTTCCTTGGCGAGGGCGGCCGAAGGTAGATGGTGGCCGTAGGTGCTGGACGTAGTCGCTGTTAGCTGGAGGCGCCTTGGATCTTGAGCCGCAGATGGTACGCGTTTGCCTCCGCGTTAGTCCCGAATTGCGATCCCTGGGAATGAACATTCCAGCTTAAGCCACTTCCGGTCTCAACATCCGGAGACTGCAATCATCGTCAACCCAAGCCAAGAAAGTCGAGCCTAAGTAAGTAGGATAGCAGGCGAAGTGGCGATGAATGCAATCAGATCGGAGTTTACAAACACAGCATAATTAAAATAAAATAAATAATATTATGATTTATTATTAGGTACGCCAAATGCTTTAAATTAACAATTTGTATGAATAATTACGCCAATAGCGAATAATTACTAACTGATCTCTGCTGAAGGAATTTACGACATAATTAGGTTTTCA